AGATCCCACGAGAGAAAAATGATAGAAATGGAACTGAGGCCGAGCATGGCAGTGACATTCTTACTAACAACACTCAGGAGCAGAGGCTGGCGGCCCTGGGAGTCTGAGGCCAGCTGTGTACACAGCGGCCCCAGGCCAGGCAGGGGGTACACAGCCAGGCTGTCTCCAAATAAAAAATAAAAACAAAAAAGCAGAGGACAGAGAAATGACGATGTTGATGTTACAACCTCTTGAACAAGGGCTAAGAAAGATTTTTTTTTTTTTTTTTTGAAGCCAGGAACAAGGAATCTTGGCCCTTGAATGACCTTTCTGCCTGGGTCTCCAAGTTGTTTTTTTTTCTTTTTAGGAATCCAAATTCTCCCCTGGCACCAGAGGACCCAGAAAATGACCTTCTGAGTCACTTTCTGAAAACACTGGTACCTGTTCAGTCATGATGACATCACAAGGCAAGTACAGTTGTGGTATGTTACAAATGCCAGTCCATTTGGATAGGTAGCTGGTTCAAGGATGCTAAGGACCACGGAGCTCATATGTGATAGAAAAGGTGTGTGTCTGTGCGGAGGAAGGAAGACAGATTATCCGGTGAACTGAAGCTGCATCAAACCTTACTGGTTCATCTAATCTAATCCTCCACACCTAATGATTAGTACTACGCCAAAAGAACCAATTTGAAAAATGCCTCTTCTGAAAGTAACTACTGAAGAAGAAGTTATAACCTTTCCTTCGAGTTAAACAAACAAACACACACACAAAAAAAAAAAAAAAAAAAGGAAAAGGAGACTCTCATTGGTCAAACAGGCAAAGTATACACAAACTGTCAAACTATAAAGAACAGAATATGAGTGTCACACTTTACAGCTCTTAGGGATGGTTTACAAGCCACAAAACTCAGCTCTCAGAAATGTAAGGTGTGATTCACCTATATCATAGCATAGAGTAATAGTTCATTTCTTTTATAGTTTAATAGTACTACTACATATGATACCTTGTTTATCCACCCACCAGGAAAGTAACGTTTATGCCATTTGCATGTTCTGGCTTTATTATTAATGCTACTATGAACACCCACGTGCAGGGTTTTTGTCGGATGTGTGTTTTCATTCGTCTTGGGCCTTTCTTGGGCACAGAGGTGCTGCAAGGTACTCAGTTTGCCCTCTCGGAAGCACCGAGCTGTTTTCTAAAGTGCCTGCATAACTGTTCAGCAGCAGTTTATGAGGAGTCTGGCTCTGCTGCACCCTCAACGTCAGCCTACCTGCATCTTTGATCCCAGGTGTATCTATGCGGGACAGTATGGCATTGTGTCTTGAATTTTAAAAATGTAGTCTGATAGCCTCTGTCTTTTGAAGGGAGCATTTATTTAAGATTCACCTATTTTTATTTGATGTGTTTGAGTGTTTAGCCTAAAAATATGTATAAGCACACATTCGTGTGTGGCGCCCACAAAGGCCAGAAGAAAAGGGTATTGGATCCCCTGGAACTGCAGTTACAGGTTACTGTAACCCACTCCATGAGTGCTGCAAGTAGAACCTGGGTCCTCTGCAAGAACAGCCAGTGCTCCCAACCCCCGAGCCATCTCTCTACTTCTGTAAAAGGGGTATTTAGTCTACTCACATTTAATATAATTATTGAAACTGCCACTAGCAACACATCTCTCAGTCTCTATTTATTTGGGAATGTCTTTATTTCTTGTCACATTTGAAGGACAATTTTGCTATATATTAAGTTTCTAGTTATCATATGGGTTTTTTTTCCTTTATTATATGGAATGTGGCCTCCTCTTGCTGCCTCTGGTCTCCAGTCTTTTGCTCGGTTTTGAGGTTTGTTTGCTTTTTTTTTCACTAATTGTATTGATTTTCCTCCACAGAAATCTCATTTCTGTTATACTTTTCTTTTTTTATTTATTTTTATATTAATCACAGGTTATTTACTTTGTGTCCCAGCCATAGCCGCCTCCCACATTCCCTCCCAATCCCACCGTCTCTCCCTCATCTTCTCCTTGCCCCTTTCCAAGTCCACTCACAGGGGAGGGCCTTCTCCCCTTCCATCTGACCCTAGCTTATCAAGTCTCTTCAGGACTGGCTGCAATATCCTCTTCTGTGGTCTAGCAAGGCTGCTCCTCCCTTGTGAGGGGTAAGGGGTGGAAGAGCTCGGCATTAAGTTCATGTCAGAAATAGTCCCTGTTCCCCTTATTAGAGAACTCATTTGGACACTGAGCTACCATGGGCTATATCGAGCAGGGGTTCTAGATTATATCCATACAAGGTCCTTGGTTGGAGAAACAGTCTCATGAAAGACCCCTGTGCCCTGATATATTTGGTCCTTGTGGAGCTCCTGTACTCTTCAGGTCTTACTAACACCCCCTTCTTTCATATGATTCCCTGCACTCTGGGAGATGTAAATCAAAACGACCCTGAGATTTCACCTTACACCCATCAGAATGGCTAAGATAAAAAACTCAAGTGACAAAACATGCTGGAGAGGATGCGGAGAAAAGGGAACCCTCCTCCATTGCTGGTGGGAATGCAAACTTGTACAACCACTTTGGAAATCAATCCGGCGCTTTCTCAGACAAATAGAAATAGTACTTCCTCAAGATCCAGCTATACCACTCCTAGGCATATATCCAAAAGAGGCTCAAGTACACAATAAGGGCATTTGCTCAACCATGTTTGTAGCAGCTTTATTCGAATAGCCATAACCTGGGAACAACCCAGATGTCCCTCAGTTGAGGAATGGATACAGAAATTGTGGTACTTTTACACAATGGAATACTACTCAGCAATTAAAAATGAGGAAATCATTAAATTTTCAGGCAAATGGTGGGACCTAGAAACAATCATCCTGAGTGAGGTGTCCCAAAAGCAGAAGACACACATGGTATATACTCACTTATATAGACCTATAAGATAGGATAAATATACTGAAATCTATATACCTAAAGAAGATAAACAAGAAAGAGGACTTGGGGTAAGATGACCAATCCTCACTTAGAAAGACAAATGGGATGGACATTGGATGTAGGAGAAAACAAGTAACAGGACAGGAGCCTACCACAGAGGGCCTCTGAAAGACTCTACCTAGCAATGTATCAAAGCCGATATTAAGACTCTGTTATACTTTTCAATCTGGACTTTCAATTGACTATTTTCAGATTCTCTATGACTGACACTATGCATTCACTGAGCCTTCCTTTTGACTCTGCGTAGCTGCAGACCCATTTCTGAGCATTCCAAAGAAATGCTTTGCCGTAGGTTCACTCCTACATCCAGAGCCTTTTCTTTTCCTGCACATAGACCACAATTTGCTTTTCTAAACGTCTGTAATTTTTGGTTGAATACTGTGCTTTTTCGATAATATGTGGTAGCAACTCTGGGTTCTAGCTTTTCCCACCTATCTTATTTTGTAGTTTGTTTTGCTTGTTGAGTGATCCTCCTAGACCAAGTGTAAAATCTGTCTGTCATAAAAGGTACAGACGCTGCTGTCTCCACTGCTACTTACCATGTCACCTGGTATCCTGGCAAGGGCCAGTCAGAGGTTTTTGTTCAAATACTATGAGCCAGAAAACCTTGTGTCTGCTTCTTTGTGGCTGCAGAGTGCATTTGAATTCAGCCAGTTTTCATGGCTGCCTTGACCTGTACTTTCCTCTGGATCCTTTATGTGTGCAAACAGGCTCCACTGCCAGGGATGTGTGGGTATGTTTCAGTCTGTTCTAACTCTTTTGTGTGTTCCTGAACACAGAAGGCATCTAGTGTGAGATACGCAGAGGGCCACGAAGCTCACAATGCTCTGACCTCCTAAACTACTTAGGTCATCAGCAACACCACTGTTCATAGCTTGCTCTGATGAGGTCTATAAACTTAAAATAGTGGACCTACTGGCTTCCCCTGTTCACTTATGACCAAAATAACCACCCGAGTTAACAATGCCCCAAACAGAGGAAGCATCTTCTGGAAGCAGCAAGGCTGATTTTCACAGCTCCCCTCAGCCTGCTCTGGCTTAACCATCACACTGACTGAGATGAAAGAATGGAATGGAGCAGAACACCACAAATTTACTCTGTCCCTACCAAGAACAAACACTTCTGGTTTCTTTTCTGAAGCGTGAAAATGGAGACTCAGACAGGGTTTTTCCAGCTCCCTGCTTGTTCTGGAGATTCTCAATTTCCTTTCTCTCTCATGCGTAAGATCTCAGCCAGTTTCCCCGTTCTTCTGAAAACAATAGTACTAGCTGTAGACAGTACGGGTGACATCACTGCTGTGCGATTTCATTTTCAGAGGAAAAAAAAGCAACTGAAATAATATAGATGGCTGAAGGCAGACACTCCTAAAACTGCTTCACTAGATCAACTCCCACTCCTCAGAAGCAGCTCTGAAGCCCCTGCACCCCGATCCTTCCACGCAGGAGGGAGAAGAAGCACCAGGAGAGCTCATCTCAAGCATTTCTGTTACCATGGTACTTTACACTGCTGCGTTTCTGCTCCTGATCCCTTACAGCCCACCCACCTCTCTCTTATGCTTCAGCCGTGGTCACTCTGACACACAAAAGCTATTCTGTGGCAGCCCTTGTCTTGAAGGCTCATGGAAGTCCCTCTATCTGGCCGTTAGTCAGTTTTCCTCTATCAGCTCACTGGACGGGCTGGGTGTTCTTGGAAAACTCAGTTAAGCTCGAGACATCCTCATACTTCCCGGGAAGGACAAACTTCCTGGCACATCTTAGTCTACTTTCCAATGGCTAGGGGTGCCCTGGAGAACTGTTGACCAAAGTCTCTCATTTGGGGTGAGCTCAGCTGCCTACTCTCAGTCACCTTGTAGGAATGTGATGATGTCTTGCTGATAAAATAGGTGGAAGGTCTCAGAAATTATCACCTGTATGAATATGGCCAGGCCTGTGTCACTAAAAAGGATTTCCTAAAGACCCCACTTTAAATAACCCAGTCTGAGCAGTCTGGCACACGGGTGTCTGAGGGAGACTTTCCTGCGCCTACAGGCCCTCTCTCTTACCTTAGCGAGGAAGATCCAGGCTGCACACTGCCCAGGGGCCAGGGCGCTTCTCAGCTTTACTGCACTGAGCATGAGGAGGAATCCTAAAACTCCACTGAAATGAGAAACAGCCTTTGGTCAGTGAAGCTGCCTTCCTTCAGCCATGGCAGGCAACGCCTCCTCAAACGCCCCAGCCTCGGGACAAGGTCTCGGCCACATGCTGGCCTGGAACTCTAAACCCTCCCACCACTTCTGCCAAGGAGCTGGGATTACAGGTATGTGCCATCACACTCACTTTACCAATGTCTAACTTCTAAGCATCACACAACTTCCATCGCATTTGTATTTTTTTAGTACCCTGGACAAAAACGACAGTTTAGAAACTAGAACCTAACAGACTTTTCTAAAGAGAGGAGAGTTATCTCGCCAGAGGTGAGACAGGCTTGGAACTCTGGCTAAGCCATGGAAGAAAAATACACAGATGGGCACTGTTATGTTTGAAATATCATGTATTGCTTCAAAAGCTTAGGTGCTAAGGCTCAGTCGCAGATGTCAGTCGTGTTAGGGGAGGGGCTTTGGAAGTGGTTCTCTGAGGAGGTCCCTGGCTCTGGATTAGTCCATTATGGACTCATCATTTGAAGGCATTATTGAGAGATAATAGGACCATCAAGAGGTGGACCCTGGTTACAAGAAATGCATCCTCGGGGCAGACCTCAGAAGCATGACTGCTCCAGCCTCTCCCTTCCTATTTCATGCTTCTGCCTCATGAGCAAATACCGCTTCCACTGCATCCTGCCACTGTTAAAGAATTAATATGCCTTCCCAGGGAAAACGTGCTTACTTAGAGATTAACAGGAGAAAATCTTCACAAAAGAAAAAAGGGGTGGGGTGGGGCTCAAGGAGAAGCTAGCCTCACATGGAAGTTTTTACTCAGTCATATGCACCTTAGGCTTATGCATTTTACAGATGCTATCATCCTTAAATCTCCTGTAGGCCCCAGCCCCAGGTTACACACTGACCAATTTGAACACAGAGAGAAGACTGCATGTCTGGCCACTTGGGCAGATGGGAGATTTACACAGCAAAGATATTCCCAGAATTATTTCTTAAGTACAGCAGCGCTGTTCTTCTCAAATAATTCCTACCCAGGCTTACCTTGCCCACCTGGCAGAATTCTGCTCTTCCTGGGTATAAGGAACTTACTGGCAGGCCAGGACTTAGTAGTAGCTGTGACCCTGCGATACCCCCTTGAGCTGCCTGTTGGAGGCATGACTTTGGGGGAGTGGGGTGGTCAGTCCTGGTGAACAAACATTTCATCCTACACAGTAAAATTGCTTACCTCTACCAATACTGGGTAGCTACTACTTATCTTTGGAGTTCCTGGGGGTAAATTCTACTTCATGTGATTTAATGTCTCCTTTACTGTCTATTCTATACTTTGAGTCCCTCCTGCGTCACCACAGTATCAGTCTCATTGGCCCAATAAAAGGGAACCAGACAACCTTGGGCGACTCCAGACCAGGAGACAAGGGAGATACTTTGACATTTAACTTGTTTCTCTTAAGACACTTGTCACAGCACTCAAGTCTAAAGCAGTCACTAGTGGGTCAGAGTGGGATGTTCTAGGGTGCATGTCTTTAAGGGTGGAGAACAAGGCAGCCAATACTCTGAATTACCTCTTGGTGGCTTCCACCCCTGCAGCCAAGAACCAATGTCACGGGTGTCCAGTCTCCCAAAGCTCCATCCTTGTCCTCTGCCCTTTCCTTTCCACCTCCAGCCGAGAGGCATGAGTGTGGCCTGTCCCTCAGCACAGGCTTAGCTAGGACGAGCTAGTCTCTGTTTAGAGACATCCAACATTTCCCTCCCATTGCTTGACTTGCTAGTTTGTAAACAGTTTCTATACTGTGACTACCTCATCTTGCTCCTCCTTTCAGCTCTTCTACCCCTTGATATGGGGAATATCCCTCTGAAAAACAGAGAGAGGCTCCCTAAAGTGAAGAATCCTGGGAGAAAGAGAGATGTGTTTCAGGGCTCTCTGGGTTACGGCTACCTCCTTCCCCTCAGGTTACCATGATGCCCTCTGAGCTTTCCCAGCACCTCCTGAAGGTGACACTAGCCTGAGATACGGCCACCGAGGAACCACTGAAATGATTTGGGGAAATTGTGCATATTTTATAGAGGTCAGCTTTGTATTGAAGCCAGTGGAGTAAAATGATACAGAGAGCTAAGCAAATGTCTGCAGCTCTTTATAATAATAATTTAAAAACTGATCTAATATGTTGAATTAGGAGAAAGTTGTCAATAATCAATGGCAGGGAACATAGCCAGAGTGTGTTCCCACAAGGCAACACCAGTGAGCTGTGAGGTGCTGTTCTGTTCCAAATGAGCGGACTGGCGTTGAGCACACCGCAGAGCCCGTTTGCCCACACTACCAAGTAATCATACTCAAAGGGGTACCAACTGCAGGGGCCCGGGCAGCAAGAGTTACAGCGTGGAAGCTTGGCGTGAAGTGACCAGGCTAGTGAGACTGACAGGAGCCAAGGGGAGCTGACAGGAGTGAGAGTGATAAAGATCATCATTCTGATGCTCAAATGCAGAAAGTCTATAAAATATTTCCCCACTGGCCCAATGCTGGTAGAGAACATGACGTGTCTGCAATTTATTTTTTTATTATTTTACGTGTATGGGTGTTTTCCTTCTGTATATGCATGTGCACCATGAGACTGGAGTTACACATGGTTGTAGGATGCCAAGTGGATACTGGGACTCAAACCAGATCCTTGGCAACAAATGTTCTTAACTGCTGAGCCAACTCTCCAGCTCATACATGTCAACTTTTTACCTATCTACAAAGACTGCTCCATGGATACAATTTTCTGTGTGGGAATGGACAGTCTGGGTTTTCTTTGTGGTTGTGAGGTTGGTTTGTTTGGTTTTTCTGACAAATGACAATAGCACCTCCTGGGTATTTACTGTGCACAGGCACTGTTCTAAATATACACCTGTATTAATTAGTGTAAAAGCCTGTAAGACAAATATGGCCATTATCCCTCAACATGTTAACAACAAGCTAAAAGCTTGCTTCTTAAGATTCCTTGGCAGAGCCAGTATTCAACATCAACAGTTTTGAGATTTTTGTTACAGTTGACCTGAGCAGGTATAATAATGGCCACCATGTTCGGGGCCAGGCATGATGCTTAGGAATTACAATTTGAGTCATACAGGAGCCCTGTGTTGGTTGGTATTATTGTTGTGTTATAGGCTGGGGAGGCGATGGGGGAGCACATGAGCAGTTGGGAGAACCTGGAGAATCTGCCAGGTGGTCACCCAAGTTAGCAGCCACCCACCCCGGGCTTGGCCCAGGTCTCCTCTCTCCACCAAGGTGAGACACAGGCTTGAGACCATCACCAGTCTTCCCACCCGCCACCACTTGAGACTGTCTGCAAGCGGTGGGGCAGGGTGGCAACGAAGCTCTGTGCATCTCTGATGGGTCCCAATCCCCGAGCCCTTCCCAAGGCCGGATACTACTGGCCATCTTGGTGCCCCGGCATCTACTAGTTGCCCATTTCTACCATGTGCTTCTGAGACTCAGGTCCATCAGGGGTTTTGCAGGTCATATTCTGCAGCAAGAGGGGAGCCAGGATGAAAGTTGAGAGGACACAAGCATCCCTCAAACTGAGTCGGCTTCATCAGTTTTATACACTGAAGTTCTGTGTGAGGGTTGTGGAGGGAAAAAGGCAGGGGAAGCCCAGCTCCTCAGCAAGCTTGAAAACTATAGTCGTGGCTGAAGCACTGCGACAGACCATGGTCTGCTGGACTCAGGTTGGCACTGAGCATCTATGAGTGTTCAGTAATGACCAGCTGGAGACAGAAAGCCGCAGCCCCTCCTTGCTTCCACAACTCGCTCGGTTTACCGGAATTACGCCGGGCTTCACAGAAATGAAGACACAGCTAACGGCACAGAACACGCATTACGTGGCTCAAGGTTACCTGGCCCAGCAGCTGCCGTGGAATCTGTAGAAGTACAGGAATGGAAAGTCCAGGACACTGAAGAGGTCACCTAAGGAGCACAGCAAAGGTGATGTGACGGTCCACACAGCTCCCTCCGGTCCCCCCACCCAGCTACACTGGGGAACACAGGACAGTGCCTTCCGCACAGTGTACCCAGCCCTCCGACTGCCACGTCCCTGAGACTCTTAGTGACCACCCGGCGAGAGCACGCTCTGTGTGGAGCCCTGTGTGAAATGTGACTTTCTCCCTGCAGCACCTCTGAGAGGATCTATCACCCCCACTCCAGCTGAAGCTCGGGGAAGAGACGTGGTTAAAATAGTGTAATTATTGAACTGTGAAGCCAGAATGTGCACCAGGTCAACCCAGACCCCGGGTAATCCCTTCAGCAGACAGCGCCCACACGAGGGAGAGTACAAGAGGAAATATCTTTTTAAAAATTCTTTTCTTCCTTTTTTGGCTTTATGAAAAAAAATTGTGAATGCATTCCCCTGACATCATTTTTCATGTTAGTGTTTAATTACTGCACAAACAGCACTGGGGCCAGAGCGATTTTGCACACTCCTCCTTTTAGTTTCAGGCCCAAAGGGTACATTTATTTCTTGTGAAGTAAGTTCATTCTTTTAGTTCCACTTTTAGTACAAGAGGAAATAATCACACATATTGGCTGTTTCTCTCTGGAATTTGAACTTGGTCACAAACAAGAAGTCAGGAGATTAAAAAAGCAGAAACCCTTCCAAAAATGTCTCAAGAAAAGGAATTAAGCATTTCAACAGTAGACAGATTAATCCTTCCAAATCTAGAGTTCTGACAAGCTGCAGGAGCCTGGCTCTCCAGAGGCCTGGGCTCTGGGCTGGGTCTGTTCCGGGCAGCCTGTGGGGACTGGGCTGACATACCCAAGCAGTCCCTGCTGAAGAGCGCTGCAGCGGAGCCGAAAGCCGCTATCTCCTTCCCCACTTAGAGCTATGCGTCAAGCCATTCAGAGGTAGGGCATTTACTTAGCACTCACAGGGCCCTGGGTTCCATCAGCAGGAAGGCACGCATGAACACACACACGCACACATTTAGGAACAAGATTCAGGGGGCTGCTGCACTTCTGTGAAGCCACCTATATGACCTCAAATGGCTCAGGTACCTGTTAGAAATTTCCAAAGTATGTATCTCTGATGTTTGGATCTTTTAAAAGCTGATCAGTCTTCACTTACACACGTGTTTCGCATAGGGTTTCACAGGATTTGGTTTTATGCAGCCCATCAAAGGTCAGGGGTTCTTGCTGTCTTTAGGTCACCACTCCACTGAAAGTCTGTACCTTCCAGAACCTGTGTTAGTAATGTCCCAGCCCTCTGGCTGCCACACCCCTAAGAATCTTAGTGACCACTTGGTGAGAGCACGCTTTGTGCAGAGCCTTACGTGAAATGTGGTGACTCTCTTACTCCCTGCAGCACCTCTGAGAGCGGCTATCACCTCCACTCCAAACGGAGCTCTGGGAAGCGGCTAAAATAGTGTAATTGTTGAACTGTGCACCAGGTCAACCCAGACCAAGATTGTCCCTGCAGCAGGCAGCGCCCACACGAGGGAGAGCACAAGAGGCAAAGAGGCTGCCTTCACCCACCAGTTTCAGGGCGACGGTGTCTAATGTGCACAGCAGTGAAAAGAACACTGAGGTTCTTTTCTGCAGAGAAATGACAACCAAGATAATGCCAGGACTGTGGACTACGAGAAATGCTGAGGCCACCCTCAGGCATGTGGATGGACATCGTGGACAATTTGTTCTGTCTCTTCTGCAGCTGCAGGCTCTTGGCCTTTTCCCAATCTCCCTCCCAGTGTGAAGGGAACTGCAGTGCAGTCAGGGAGAGAATGGGGAATGGCAGAGAGGATGATCAGTTAAATCCAGGACCTTGAGGTCCCTCTGGCTGTGCCTGCTCTTGACATCCCATTTTCATCCTAAATGTTCTGCTGGGTAAGCTGATGAGGGTACACAGTTAATAGTCACAGCCTAGCATGGGCTTTGGGAAAGAGCCTAAAGAATAAGAGGAATGGTCAGGGCTAGGCCAGGAGGGAGGGAAAGAAAAAACAGGTCACAGTCATAAGGAACTTGCCAGCTAGATGATAACCACTTTCCAGACCACAAGAGCCACTCTTGTCGGTTACTGGGAGGAAGAGAGGGAGGCGAATAAAAGTAGGATGAGAGAACTGGCTGCCTTCCTCCTTAAGCCATTCCTAAAGCTGCTGTGTTTCTCCACAGCATCTATCTGCCTGCCAATCACCCAGAATTACCAAATCCTCTCATAGCAGGGACTCCTTCCCACTCACACCCGTCACCACTCTAAGTTAGCACCACAAGGACACCTGGGTAAGCAACATTCAAAGAGGGGATCTGAAACACCGGACATTTCTTCATAGGCTTGACTATGGTGACCCTCAATTTCCAGCTGACTCAAAATGCTTCCCTTTTGGTGCCCTCAGTACGTCTCTTACTAAAGCAAGATTTTTTTTTTATTTAAATTTTTTTATACAATATATTATGGTCATGGTTTTCCCTTCCTCCTCTCCTCCAAGATCCCCACCTCCCCATTTATCCAACTCCACACCTTCTTTCTATCTAGAAAACAAAGCTGAATGAATATATACATAAATAAACAACCAAACAATAACTGAGAACACAAAAACAAAGAAAAAGTAGAAGGCGTGCATGTGTGCGCACACACACACACAAGCTGAGTTTCAGAACAGTTAAAGTTATGTAGACCAGGCTGGCCTCAAACTCACAGAGATCGGCCTGCTTCCACCTCCCGGGTGCTGAGATTAAAGGCGTGCTCCACCACAGTGGGCAAAAGTGCACCCTTAAGCAGCAAAGGCTGGTGACACTGCTGTGATACTCCAAGGAGGTTACAGGGTGTAGCTTGCTCCAGCCACAGGAGAGCACAACACAGGGGCCTAAGGACTGTGTGAAGACGTTGGAGCTCAAGGCGGATGAGCAGCTCAGCACTTCCTGCTCTTGCAGAGCAGCACGCACCAGGAGGCTCACAACCCCTGTAACCAGCTCAGGGGCTCTAACGCCCTCCTCCTCTGGAGGTGCGCACGTGGTGCACCCACAAAGCAAACCCGAGCACGAACACACATAAAATCATGAAAATCTTCCTAAAAAGTGAAGCTGTTCACAAGACAGCACCAATGTTTGGCCTGTGCTGAGCAGAGAGTGCACAGGCACCAAATCAGTGGGACCTGCCTCATGCCTTCGGGCAGCCACGGAAAGCTTCTGCAAGCTAGTGTGACATGGCTAGGCTCCAGGTGGCACTTTACTGAGCAGAGGACAGTTACAGAACACAAAATTGCAACAGGGTAGCAGCATGACTTGTGACAGTAACGTGGGGTGAAGCATGAGGAAAAGGCCCCTTTCACCCCACCTCAGCCCTAGAACTGGCAGTGAATGGGGCCAGCACCAACGAGTGGCTGTGGCTGCTGCTTTACCTCAAGCAATGGCATCCCATGATGCCGTCATGCACCAAGGTCTCCACTGTCTCACATTCCTCACAGCAGAGCAGCCATAAGAACCAAGTGCAGGGCTGGAGTGATGGCTGCTCTTTCAGAGGACCCAAGTTCACTTCCCAGCACCCACATGGCAGCTCCTATTCCACACATGCAGGCCAAACACCAATGTATGTAAAATAAAAATAAGTTATTTAGAAAAAAAGAATGCAAAGTGTAAACTTTTAAACATGGGAGAATTTCGCTGGTCAAACAGCTTAACGAGAAAGAAATGGAGGGTCTTCTCAATTACAGTTCTAAGGTTCTTTTTTTAATTAATAATTTTTATTTTTTTATATTAATCACAGGTTATTTACTTCCTATCCCAGTCATAGGCCCCTCCCTCATTCCCTCCCAATCCCACCCTACCTCCCTCATCTCCTCCTTGCCCCTTTCCAAGTCCACTGATAAGGAGGTCTTCCTCCCCTTCCATCTGACCCTAGCTTATCAAGTCTCTTCAGGACTGGCTGCAATGTCCTCCTCTGTGGCCTAGCAAGGCTGCTCCTCTCTCGGCAGGGGGGTGGGGTGGTGGGGGGTGGTGGGGATGAGCCAGCCACTGAGTTCATGTCAGAAATAGTCCCTGTTCCCCTTACTAGGGTACCCACTTGGATACTGAGCTACCATGGGCTACATCTAAGCAGGGGTTCTAAGTTATATCCATACATGGTCCTTGGTTAGAGAAACAGTCTCATAAAAGACCCCTGTGCCCTGATATATTTGGTCCTTGTGGGTCTCCTGTCCTCTCCAGGTCATACTGCAGATCTAAGGTTCTTGAACCCTCTCATTAACCTGTGAGGTAAAATGGCTGGTGGAACAGGTTGGCTCCGCCTCCCCAGCCCCAAAGAAACCTAGTGCTCAGGGCATGCAAATCATCTGCTTGATCCCATGCACCCACAGAGATGCTTACAGGGACACTCATCCTTCAGCCACTCAGAAATGAGGGACAGGGAAGCTCAGGCAAGAACGTCACCAGGAGACCCTCACCCGCTAGACCAAGCCAGACTGACATAGCAAAGCTTGGGGAACATGCTGAGCCACTGAGTCCTCACGCTGAACTGGGTGAAATGGCAAATGGTACAAACACCTTGGTACTTTCTTAATTAAATATGCATCTACTCGAAGACCCAACAAGTCTGTTTTATCTGCTGAAATTCAAAACCAGCAGATAAATTCAAAAACATTAGAAAATGTGGTGGTAAAACAAAAGTGGACCCAAACGCTCACAGTGAGTGGCACCATTGGGAGATGTATCCTTGCTGGAGGAAGTGTGAACTGGAACTTTCTGGTCTCTTTAAAGATTCGGTTTTGTCGTGTGATGTTTTGCTGGAGGCTGGCTTGTGAGAGGCCATGTGGTGTTTTGCTGTGCGCTTTCTCCTGTGAGGGGCCAGCTGAGAACATCCGTGGCTGGACTCTGAGGAGAGGACGTATGTAGAGGCTCACACATAGTGAGGCTTCACTTATTTGGATCCAGCTGCTGCACTGACTCTGCAGAGAGAAACGTTCCAGAGAACTTCTGGGACCATC